GCCAAAGTGTCTCCCTCTCGAGGTCGTCCTTCTCATTGCCCAGACCATGGTAGATGATGCCGAGATCTCTGCTCAGCCATTGACGTGGAATGCGACTTATGATTCCCGGAACGACACAAGCCCAAAGCTCAACCTCAGCCTCCGTCAAAGGCGTCTCGCATCGCTACGCTTCAAGATGATTCGAGACGTGTCCCAAATCAATCAGCTTTTCAGAAAGACTGTGCTGAAAGTCTTCCTACCAGACTTCAAAGTCTTTCACCGTGGCAAACCACTCGCTCTCGCCGTAGTGCTCCCAGATGTCGATACCTTTGACTCTTGTCACGTGGTTATCAACCATCGAACAGGACCAGGAGTTGTCCCTTTCGTTGCGCAATTAGCCTATCTACAGCCTGCATTCAACAACATCCACCTGAGAATGCGACCTCAGGCCTTCGTCTATGCTCTTTCTTGTGGACGCGACACCAAATACCGCAATCCAATGGCGGCAATTCTCGCTCTCAAAGAAATTATCCTTGACGAGGACTGCAGAGGCCCGAAATTACAGCGCCGCAACCGGACCAGTAACGCATTGAACCACCACATTCCAAGCAGCGCGAAGAGACTTCAGGCCATGGAGCAATCTCTGGGAACTCGATTCCATGCACTTTGGCAGCCGTACTCGCATAGGGTGCGCATGTTCGTCAAGTTTTGCGATACATCGGAAAAACAGTTCGAGCTGGTTTCTACCGTGAGAGGCTTACGAATTCGAATACTGTAGAGATGTCGGATGGAAAACCGAACACCGGGCTTTGCGTGGGGACAGAACCGTCAACCGGCTAGAGGTCAACTGTGATTCATGTATTTGGTACTTGCTGGCTGAGGAATGGGGGCCATTCTATCAGGACAAGTTCATTTCGAAGGTGTTGGCTCAGCTTGCGTAGAGCTAGGATGGGTAAAAGTCATCTTCATTGACTTCCTAGCATTGGTTACATCACACACAAAATCTAGCGTTTCTTTTCTTCAAGTACGCAAAGTGTGCTTTAACTGCTGGGAAGCCTCACAATTAAGTCGACCTCCCACTTCCCTGCACAATACTGTATCGAGCGTTGGATCTGAATTCTCGAACTCCCTCGAAAGCATCATTCGCTGAATATCTGGTTCGTACGGTACTCGTTGATTATTCAGTGAAGAGTAATTGTGCTCTTGACATTTCGGAACCGATGATGGTGGCAGTCTGGGTCAGTATCCGCCGAAGGACCGCATAGTAGTGTTGCTTTTCATTTAACCCGTTGAAAATGACCACCTTTCGGGTACTTTACGAGGAAGGCCAGCTCCGCACTGAGTCGTTCACGGCGGCAAACATCAAGGCACCGTCAACGGGTACATGCAGATGCGACGGAAATCGAACCACAAGCGAACGAATGAAAAGGGCCAGGGATTAATTCTGCGACCATTCCATCGCAAATCTACTCAAAGTGGTTCCTTCGAAATTTTTGATTCCATGGAAATGGGTTAACTACCTGATGGAACGGTTCCACTATCGATCTATGAAACAACATCGTCTGTCCTTCAGTCTTTCAACACCTACTCAACCTAATCCATGACTTGAATGCCATTCATAGCGAACTTCGTCACTAAGTTTTCGTTCATTGTGACTGGATCCTTGGGTGTCTGATTGTCGTGGCTTAGGCCCGTGTCAAACACTCTGTCTCATCTCAGACAATGAACACCAAGACATGTGGGCATACTCCGGCAAATGTCCAACTCACCGCTCTTCTGGTGATGCGTAATGATGGTGGATCAGCAATATTCATGTTACCCCCCCAGGAAGCTCATAAACGCCTGTCTTTCTTCATTCGGTCGCCCAATCCTCATACCATCTTGGCGGCTTCACCCTCCCAAACAAATCCCGTTGCAATGCCCCAACGACCCTCGTCCCAGCAGAATCGACTCCCACAATCGCGTCTGCGAACCCGCCAAACACTCTCCTCCCCGTCGTCACGCACAAACAGACCGAACGGACGGGTCGGGGTAATTGAGCTCTCCACGGATAGTGAAGACGGATCAATCCGGCCGGGTCCCAGGCGTAGCCAGACTACCGCGGCCAATGCTCTCGTAACGACCACTTTCCGGGGCGGACCAATCCGCTTTGCATCGCCTAAGATCCAGGAGCGATCAGCACTCAGATCACCCGCGGCCACGATCTCTGGACTTACGCCTCATACACGCGTGGCACTCGGACGCTCGGCCGGATCTTCCATTGGACAGCGGGGTGCTATTGGGCTCGCAAACATGCTGCCCGTACCTCGAGCTGGGCCCCTTGCCCATACGGTTTCGTCGTTTGTGGCGTGTTATCAGCTATCGTTGTGGTTCATCACTGTGGTCGCCTATATGTGTAGACACAGAGCGGAGGAAGGTGGAGGAGAATTGTTTTCGTTCGTGGCTGGAATCATGGGTGACGTGGTTGAGAACCCCACCGTGTTTGCGATGGGAATGCTCTGGGCCAAGGTGTTGCTGTGATACGATAGAGGAACCAGGGGAACAAGAGAAAGTTGCATGAAACAAATGACCGTGACCTCGACATCATGGACAGAAGCCCTTTGCCAATCGTTTCGTCTTCCCGCCCATGGTTCCGGATAAGCGACCGCGGCCGCTGACATGGGCCATGCCCGGCTTGCCGTCAAACAAGAGATTTGCGGGAAATTGACGGCCGGGCCGAGCGATCAAATTGGAAGTTCCACATCCGGGGGCGGTCGTGACACTGGCTCAGCCCCGCTTATGTGCCCGGTCCCGCTGAAGCTTCCGAAAGGTGCGAGCGTTAGAATTGCGACGCATCACGTCCATGTGGTCATTGGAACCACACACCATGATGCGACGAACTGATCGATCCACTAAACTCTATGAACATGGAATCAATGATCCCGCGGACAACCTGACCCATCGTTTTGACATTATGGGTACGGATGATCGGCATGCTCACCTACCCCACGTTCGGAGCCCAATCCTTGCGACTGTATGATCGACAGGAAGCTTCACCACCCGAAAATGACGGAACGTGGAAAGCTTGGCTGTGTTAGCCACCGAATCCATGAGTGTGCACTTATCACTAAATTATGCCGTGGAATTTGGTGCAAATATAATAAACCGATTCCAAACATGGTCTGCATGGTCTGTTCGCATCTTCGAAGATCATGCTTCACTAGACAAATTCTCGCCTCCAACTCTACGCATTGAGTTTCCGACTACATCTCCTTCCCCTCACCTGCCACGGTGCAAGTTAAAGTCCGCAGAACTTTCGGGTAGATTGTTTTTCTGTCGTCTGTCGCAATTACCCGAAGCCTGTCTGCTTCCCTCTATCTGTTCTTGGACGTTCTGGAAGCACCACGATGGCGTCTTGGCTTGATTCTCATCAATATTCAAAGATTGCACAAGAAGAGACACAGGGCCAACACCATGAACGACATTGGGTCAAGCGGTATTGGGATCGTGGAAAGGTGCACATCATTTACACTCTGCTCCTTGTCTTTGTCGCCGTAGTCAGCAATAACGCCTCTCGGCTCAACAGCGGCAGTGCGTTATACGGCGAAGAGCCCCTACGAGGGGAGATGCGTTGTGGGTCAATGAGATACTGCTGAAAGCAATAGCAGTATGTCGACATGTTAAAACTGACAACACGGCAGTGAAAACCGCCCCTCGAACCTTCCTCCTCGATCTAAATTATGCGATGCCTCCATCGCCAAAGGTCGACAAGGCTTGGTCATCCCTCCTCCCCGAACGAGGCGGCTTCTTTATACACCCGAAGATTGCACCGAAAGAGAGCTGTCTGGCTGTATTTCATCAAATCCACTGCCTGGACATGCTTCGTCGGGCGCTCTACGAAACGCGTCCAGATATCATGAACCAAGGCGAGAACAAGTCGAGCACGGCATCATCAAACCACGGGAAACGGGATAAGACGACAGGAATCAATGAAGCACACGACATGTATCACCTGGGACACTGTTTTGATCTTTTGCGCCAGGCCATCATGTGCAAGCCGGTAGGTTTCCGTCATAGACGACAGTCCTTATCCAAATGGGAGAATTCTGGCTGACGCCTTTGATAGGATTTGACGATTGAAATTGCGAACACAACGCTCAATGGTGTCACCGGCTTTGGCACAGAGCATCAATGCATAAATTGGGAAGAGTTGATGAATTGGATGAAGGTGTTTGAGTGAGCAGCAGTCTCAGGCACGGACAAATAGGTAGTCACATGTGAATAATTAATTGAGTCTTGCGACGAATGTTGCTGGGAGCCAAGGCACCGTAAACCAATGTTGGTAGCCCCAGGTTGGCAGGCTCTGGCGTGGATCGCATGGGATGCAACAGCAGCATAGCCCAACAGCCTTTCGCAGAGCATCTTTCGAAAGAATACGCCTAACGATCTTCTAAAGAAGAGTGCGAGACTCGGGCTTCTACCTCAGTGTAGAGTTCAGAAGGAAACTTAGCAGGTGGGCAATGTCATGTCTAAAAAGCTCCGCCAGTGACGGAGGGATGTGATCGGCCGTACATTCGTCAAATATTGAGATGAACGGGGTGCCCATTCGTGAGTGGCTGACATGGGTACACGGCATCGGAAAAGGGCTTTGTTTACTGGCCAAACATCTGGAAACGTGGTGCTACTGGGAGTTGAATTAATAAACCCCAGACTCTGCACTGGTTATATTGCCTGAGCTTGGCTGCGACTGCTTTCTCCATCAAGTTTCACAATTATCTGAAGCGATCCACTAGCAAGCCAGCAAAAGCTTAATCTGTTCTCTTCACATCTTGTTGGTTATTCTTTTCAGCAGCCAATCTCTTTTTTTGTCTGTGTTGACCCCCCTTCTCCCTTCTCAACTCAAACTCACACATTGTCGGAGTTCAGAATACCTTGTAATGCTAACGAGTGAAGCCTCGACTCTGGTATTCCTTTGCGATTTAATTCGTGTCCTTCTCCGCCCCCGTAGTATTAATTCTGGGGCTCCACCAACTTCAATGCCCTCATTGAAGCTTGAAGGTTTTCTCACTCCATCCATACGTCCGATTCAACCGCCGTGCAAGGATGAGCAGTCTGTATCCCTCAATTTGCGATTGATGCGGGCGATGGATGGTCAAAGGCCTTTCGACTTTGAACTGCATCGGGGGCCGGAAGGTGTAGACGGACCCGTACCGAGGGTAGACAGAGAAGCCAAGCTCTGCCATGGCGGTCTCGAACGATATCCAAGTTGTCGATCTCCGTGCTTGAGACTTTGAGAACAAGTTGGCAAAGAAGTCAGCAGTTGACGCGCTGACCTGAATGGTATCCGATGATGCGCTAAGCCGTGGTTGCTCTGCGGCCACAGAATGTCGGGGGCTCAGCTCGTGAGTAGATGCTTGGGACGGTCGCGTCTTCAGCTTTTCCTTCCGACGAGTAATCATGGCCTCTTTGGGTTCACCGACGGCCCAATCGATGCAAGCTGCGGGTAATGTGTTCTTTGCCTTGTCGATCTTCATTTGCTCATATCGACTCTCGAGGTCAGCGAAGCACTCTGTGATGAGATCTTGGTAGAGAATACCGATCTTTGTACCGGCGTTAGCCACCACGAACTCCTCAAGGGATGCGAGAGCTCCCTCGGCCATCCCGGGTTCCAAGAGATTGCCGATGGGCACGGCGTAGTCACGCAGGTCGATTTCGGTTTTCAAAGCCGTCAGCTCTGCCTCCAACTCTCGCGATCTTTTGACGAACGCTCGTCCCTTTTTGTTTGAACAGGATGGAAGGGTAACAGCAGATGAAAGATCCTGAACGAACCCAACGATGACGGCCAGGTCGAAGAGCGCGTCAGCTTGGCGTTCCTCCAGCCTTTCACGCTCCGTTGGATGGGCCGTGTACAGATCGCCCAGCCTTTTCATCCAGTCCGTAGCATTGGAGGGTGCGGTGCTAGGCTGACAGAGGCGAAGAAGGTAGCTGAACAAGGGGTCGCTTCTCGTCAGGTCTTCGGGCTTGCCCTTCATGGCGAGACGCGCGTTGCTTGCGTTGTCGTAGGCATTGGAGATGCGTTTGAATCGTTTGGGGCCAGCGCCGGTGGCGACATGACGCCGGAACAGAGCCTGTGTGCGTTCGTACTCCAACTGACACACGTTTGAAAGCTCCTGAAGAATGAGGGCGCGGTACGTCTTGTCGCGGTCCGACACCTCGAGGGCTTCGACAAGGCGGGTAATGTAAGCCCAGATTGCCGCGGCTTGGATCTCGCCATGGACGGCTTCGAAAACGGCGCCGCTGATGTGCTTGTCGGTGTGTACAGGAAGACTGCGGCCCTTTTCATCAGGGACAAGACCTGTGCGGCTGAAGAAAGCCATGTTCGTGGCATGAGCGAGGACAACGGGCTCTGCTGACAACATCTCTACCCGTTCTAGGAGTGTTGCGCTCCGGTCGCGGGCGTCTGCGGCGATATCTGGCATTGCAACTTTGGTGGGTACATCTTGCACAGACAATTTGGCGAGGTTGCTGAGTGTTACGTCGTCACTGCTTTTCTTTGGTCGCTGGCTCTGATTCCGGGTTCGAGAGTCAACTTCTAGAACATCTTCGACCACGATGTTCAGGCACTGCATCATGTACAATTGCCTCTGCAAGATGTCACCGTTTGCTGCTCCAGCTTTCAAGCATCGTGTTCGCTGCGATTTGTCGAAAGAACGCCATGCCATCTCGAGCTTGGCGGCGTGGGTTCTGTATTTGCGCGCCAGGTCGGCATGGAGTTCCTCGACGAAGCCCGGGTCAACAGTCTCCATCATGCACTCATCCACGAGGGAAGTTTCGTTGTCGATGGATTGACGTCTCGTCGGTCGGTAGAAGTCAGGAGGTGTTGCTTGTTGAACACCTACCTACTAGGTAGGGAGGAGAGATGGAAGTGTTGAGGGAGTCACCAACGACCCGCCGCAGAGTCCCAGTGCCCCCGCGCGATGGAACGACACTGGACGCAGACCGAAATTTACCCCACATTTCACATTGCATTACTTAAATACATGTGAACAAAAACCTTCAACGCTCGGCTGGAGATACCTGCGATTTTCACACATAGAACCGACTCATTCTGCAGGTATACAATCACTTATTCCTACCTAACACGATATGTATACTTCCAGAGACACTGAAGTCTGCGAAATGCGGAATCTTGCGACTGGTAAAAGCCCCCGCCCCCTGTGCCTTCCTTTTTGGCACCTACCTACCTAGTAACACAAACTCTTCTCTACGGCAAGCAGGTGCCTTCCTCTCAGCAAGCCAGCACCTTCTTTGCCAGTCTGAAGATCAAGGTGCTCTTTCCCAGCAGCCGCAACTTCTCCCACACCGGCGATATCTCTCGCTAGATACCTACCTCACGCAATCCCCATCGTCCATGAATCCAGTTACCGAGCCTCCCTTCATTCACACCAGGCAGTCTTCGAATTCCAGCCGAAGCTCGACACAAGGGCCTGCGATGCTCTTTCGAGCATGGCTAACCACGGATCCCAGCCGCCGCACGACACCATTTTTGTCGCCGCCGACCTCAAATGCGTGCTTCGCAAGCAGTCCCTAACACCCTGGACCACTTCGCCCAAGAGCATCACGCTTGTGGTGACGCAGCATGCTTCCGGTCACGTCGACACTGTGCGCACGCTGGAAGACGCCGGGTATCATGCCGTCGATTGGAACGTCTGCCGGCAGATGCCCTCGCTCCTAGAAGGCCAAGCCGGGACTTGTGTGGTACTCTCTCCTTCAACTATACCCGACCCTTCTTTCCTTGACTTTGTTCGGAGCTGGCTTGTCAACGCCATCATCGTCGAAAACTCAGAGCTCTCCTACCCGACGTTTGACTGTCATTACGGTCAATCCGAGTATGGTCAATTCGGATTGATAGCCGCCCTTGAGTTTTACCTTGAGCGCCGCTGCCGACTGACAAGAGTCCTCATTACACGCCTTCTGCCCCCATCAGCAGTCGTTGAGTTCTGCAGACAATACGATGTCAAAGCCGACCATGACTGCATTCGTCTTCCAACAAACAACTCGAAGACGGTTTACAGCGCGGTGGAGAGCCGAAGCCTTTTTCTGATGCGACAATGCCTTTCAACCGCTCTCAATCACTTTCACGCGGCAATCGATGCTGCAGCCAAATCCTCCGCTACGAGAGAAGCTCACGGGAGGCAGCTTGCTGTCGTTCTGACCGCAAGTCATTCTCAGGCCATCGCCTTGGCTGCTGAATACGGGTGTCATTATTTTGACTCGGCAGACCCTCTAGAAGAACGACGCCGCAGACTCCATGCATGGCGCACTTCCCAAAAGCAGACCATTTTCGCTTCTTCACAACAAATGACGGCACTTGACCTTCAAGGCGTGTCGCTCGTCATCAACTACGACAATCCTGAGTGCGCGATACCCTTGACACTGCAGATTGAGCCTGATGGCCCAGCACGTATCACGAGCATCCATCTGTCAGACAGTGTGGGTAGAATGGCAACATCTCACCCAGCATTGTTCAATTTCTTTCGAGGCAGTTGCCGACGCAAGGACCTGACCAAATATCTCATTGGCATCGAAGTTCCAACTTGTCTCGAGCAATACGGACCTGCACTTTGCGACCTTTGCATGCAAAAGCACTGCCAAACTTTCAACTTGACTATCCGAAACAATCTGCCTCCCGAAAACATGGAAAACGGAGGGTCCTCGGTCACAGAATACCGAACACTCCAAGCAAGTGCTAGTGCACCGTCCCTGACACCTCAATCTTGTCGAAAGCGAGCAAGGCCTGACTCTGGTACTGACGGCAACCACACACATTCGATCTTGAATAGTGTAACGCTGGAAGACGCCTTGGATGTTTTTAACCACGCTTGTTTCCTATTCAACCCGGAGAAAGCCCGACCAAGATGTCTGTACTGCTACACATCTTCGCGAACCGATCCCAACATCCCTCTCAGCTGCGCCGAGCACCCAAAGGCGGGATGCCCACTGGCAAAAGGATCCGAGTCGGTCGAACGCTTACGTGGTCTCCTGAAAGACAGGTTCTGCTTTCCGCCACGAGTTGGTTGTTATACATGCTGGGCTCCGACAGGGCTGCCTTTCTGCTCACGCGACCTCAGCAACGGAGGGCGCATGGAACGTCTACAGGAGGGCCAGAAGCATGGATGCCAGGCCGGACGTCTTGTCACTTCTCTTGTAGCATACTTTATGCTCCATGAACCTGGGCTTTTTAACGATGCGGTGCGGAGGCTGGGCGGTCCGCGTCAATATCTGCCCCGCGTTGAGAGTGGTGACGATGTTCGGGAGGTATTTGAGGCATTTCTGTTTGGGAATGGTTGTGGTTCGGCGGTTGATTCTCTTGTCGACTGGCTCGTAAAAGAGAGGACAATATGGAGCGAAAGCGAGGGACAAATTACCACGACGAATGTATTCGCGACACTTGCTATGGCGCATAGCATGCTACAGAGAGGGCATAGGATGTAAATGTAGTTAATTCGAATGACTTCCTTCGATAACAATTTCCACTGTCTGCACCCAGTTCGAGAATTGTTGTTCGGCCACGGCGAAGCGGCTTCTTGGCCAGCACTCGTTCTTGAAAATGACTGCTGGCTCGATGGCACTGCACCTGTTATGATTCAGTGAGATCTGGAAGACCCAGAAAAGCCTTCATCCAACTGACAATGGGGTCGGGCCAGGGAAATGGCTGTGACGAAAACCAATGCAGGCTGTCCCGATGAAAGACTCTAAGAATGAGGCCACAGTCGAGCGCGACGGCGCGAAGTCACACAGGCAAGCCGTGATACGAAGGTAAATGTAATTGATGAGTGCACCAGAGGTCGCCCATGCGATGAGAACTTTCAGAAGTAATGATGGCGTTGGCAAGAGCTATCTGGGACGGACTGGCTCCTTCCCACAATGCATTTTCCCTCGAGGTACACCGAAAAAGTGCCTGCCTAACCTTCGGCTTCTTTTGCAGAAGCTGTGTCTCTCTCCAGGAGCACCTTCCCAGTGTCCTCGAACGTGATCAGCGACCGTACATCCCTCTCAACCTCGCCCATCCCAATGGAAATCCTTTTCCTTCCCAACTCCTTCTCCTCCAGTCAACCCCCCCTCACCATCTGCCACTCGAAACCGACCGTTTTTCCACCCTCGGACGCGCTCTTCTGTCCGCACGCATCCTCTCTAACGCTCCCAATTCTACTGCGAGCCTTCTCCTTCAGCTTCCAACGATCTTCCCTGGCCAGTCTAACCCATCCAAACGTCTACCAAGATCGTCCGAATCACGCCGAGATCATGGCTCCCACTCTGGATTCCGCGCCGATTGCCGCAGGCAACACGGCCGTCAATGCCTGCTCCACGCCCAAAGCTATCAAGTCCGAGATCGGTCAGTCTTGTCTCTGATTTTCCATCCCGAGCTACCCTCACTGACACCACATACCAGACGCTGAGCCCGACATCACACCCATCCGCACAAACATTGCATCTCCCGAAGACTCCGAAAGCAAGGTCCCCGCCTTTGACTCCGAACAACCCGACTCCGACAAACCAAAGATTAATGCTCAGCCTGCTTACGAACAGGAGGCATTCACTTGGCTCTCGTTTACTATCAGCTGCGACAATGGGCTTTCATTTGTAAAGGTCAAAGACTTGGAGGACAGCCTTCTTCGAACCTTTCCTGACGCACGCATCAGCTGCCAGAAAGACGATCCAGAAGGAGAACAAGAAAAGACGTCTTGATTAAGCGGCGGCTTCGGATCAATCAGACTTTGAGCGTCGTGTTTTAACCCGGAAGGCGGGTTAGGCAAGATATGTGTTTTAAAAGGGAGAAATGGGGGCGAGAACTTTGGCGCTGAGGATCTTGACGAGCCCATTTGCTCATTAACTTCAATGGCAGAAAACAAACATCTTTCTTCGTCTACTTGAATCTTCCGGCAGTGACGTCGAGGGTCCTGGACAATCCATCAGCCAAAGCATAGCATAGCATATCCAAACTGCAGGCAGTAAAATTGATAGAGACACATTCCGATTTCAGCAGATTTACCAAAAATGTTACAGCCTGGCCCAGCTCCTGACATTGAGTCGAAGTTGGCAAGTCGAGGTGTTGATAGCTAGGACTTAGCCACGTCCGATTTTCGTCTGATTCAGATTTAGAGTTTAAAGATAAAGCAGCTCATATTACAGGAATGGTTCACCTGGCGCAATTGATATCCTGGGATGAGGCCGCTAAGCTTGAGGAGCCCGTCATCTGGGTGCTATCGCGTACGAGATCTCATTTCACGCATATCATAAGAGTGAACCTAGGGTTATCTCCCGCCACATACGACCATACCCACTAGAAAACTCGGGATCCCGTCCGCTCTCCCATAGATAAGCCAGTGAGGGCTGGAGTAGTAGTCGGGTCGGTGACGACCGGCGAATGCCCGGTGTTGTATGTTTTTCTTCTTTTTGCATCCTGAAGTGTCTCACCGTCCGGGGCCCTAGCTAGGTCGGATTTCAAAGTTTATCACGTAATGTTCGTTGATATTCTAAATTGCACGTGGTACACAAACATGAGTAGCAGATGGTTCCATTTGTTAAGAACTGATCACATTGGATTTGGCTCCTTCGTAGGGAAGATTCTAAAAAATGAGGTGATCAAGCGTTCAGCCGGTCAATGTCTCATATGCCCGGAGCATATCCGTAGTTCCCGTCTGCCTGGCGCCATTTACGTCAATTGCATCTTCTTAGTCTGCAGCTTTACCGCATTAGGGGCATTCCGCGAGCCTCTCCACAGTTGCAAGGCTCAATAGCCAGCAGGCACTCAGGTACAAGAGTATTTGGGAATCGAAACGCGAAACGTAGTTCTTGGCGGGAGGCGCTGTAAGCCACCGCCACCAATGGTTGGTGAGTTGTCGCATCGGCAGCCGGCCAGTGCCAGCTCAGAATATCCGGGGCGCGAGTCGTTCGATGAAGCGATTGCGGGATGGGCCAACGCTAAATCCTAGCGTTTTAGCATCAATGGAGCCCGCCGAGGAGCTTGCCCGCTGTCACGTCGACTTTGGAGCGATGTTGGGGCTGTCTGACGTCAACGATCAGTTCAAAATAAGCGCTTTGCTGGACGACAACTCGCGAGCTACCAGGTTATCAAGGATTTTCCGAGATCCAATTAGAATTTCGAGATCACAATCTCACAGTTCCACCAACACGGAGGTGGAGGTGATATCTATGGACGGACGGTGGTAAGTAGATTGCCATACAAGGCTTTTGCGGGTGCGCCTATGGGTCAAGTAAATCCAACGCCCAGTGCAACTCCGGCCTTCTTCTACACCTCTTCATCCGTTCAACAATGTTGAGACTGGCATTTTTCCATTTTCGGGGTGCCTAGTACTGTTTCGTCGGTCTTGCGTGAATGCCATGGCCAGTGGACCGCATTCCTCAGTGCTTTGCTCCCCCTGCCAATGAAACAAGCATTTTAAGCATTCCCATGTCGTGTCAAGAGTAACCTTCGTACGCTACGTGCGGTAGGTTAAGCGAAGTCATTCCAGCGAATTTGGTTTTGAATTACTTTCCAGTTCTCCCCGACACGCACTTCCGGATATGCCTACCTCGCAACCCACAAGCCTGTCTATTTCGTGCTTTGGGCCTAGGAGAGCATTCTTCTGTCATCGCCTTCGGGCGGATTCTTACCGACATAAGCTCTTCGCCCTGAACGTGCCTACCCAAATAGCCTCCGCGCCATCCTTTGAAGGATTGAGAAAGACCCCATCGGTATTTCAAGTGCTGATGCTGTTTGCCTACTGGAGCTTATGATGTCGTGGTGGGCCCTTTCATGAACATTAACGGCAACGCCGTCTGTGTACTAAAGCCAGTAGCGAAGACTCGAGCCACGCTTACCCGAATTCAGTCCTTTGTGCGATGATACCCCGGATGCCCACCGCGCACCGGATGCCAGGCTCTCTGTGTGGGTTTTGTTCCCTAAGCGTGGTTAGGTGTGGAGTCAATCCAAGCAGAGCGCCGAATTCGTGGAGTGGGACATTTCTCGGCCGATTGACAGTCTGTATAAGAGCTGCGGGAAATCCTCTCTCAATCTGAATAATTAATACCAACAAACTCAGTTCAGAAGTCACTCGCGACCCAGCAATTACCACCGTCTTAGTTCTTTGACTTTTTGTTGATACACATCTCTCATATTGAAGCCCAGACACTGGCTTCTGACACCCACCATGCGTTCACTCATCTGGGCCTTGGGCCTTTCTGGCACCGCTGCCGCAGCAGCTGTCAGTACCACAGTTGCCAACGACCACCACGCCACAACGACGGCGCCACAGCCGCATTCCACAGAGGATACGCCTTGTGCCATTGCAAAATCACGGGCTGAGGCTTTCATGTCGGCGGAGCCCGAGGCGACAAGGGCTTTTGTGCTTCCGTCGATAGCCTACAACTGTCTCAAGTCGATTCCAGTGGACAAGGAAAACGATATGGGCCTCCTCAACTATCTGGAACCCTACGTTCAATTCCAAAGTACACTGGAGCCTCTCGCGGCCCCCCCTGACTTTTATCTCATCCCCGGTGTGGATGTTTTGTCTGGATTCGGCCAGATCCGAGCGAAGCTCACCAACGACGAATATGATAGTCAAGTGGATTTTGCACTTGAGCTGTCTTACTTGGTAAGTTCACATCACTTGCCTCTGCTGGACAGGTGAGAGGTGCTAATATTCAAGTAGTTCATCCAAGCCTCAGATGGTCATTTCGTGTACAAACCCGCTATCCTGGACGTTTTCCAGTTCGGCAGCCTTTCATCCGTTGTGTCTGTGGCCGACAACGCCACTGCTCTTCCTAGAGTCTACCTTCGGAGTGATTTTGAGCAGTATGTCGCCAATGACACTGATGTGTACGACATCGAAAGTATCGATGGCGTCCCAATCGTGGAATTCCTCGAGGCGCAGGCATGGCGCGCGCTCAGCCAAGATCCCGACGCCCAGTACAACTCATTATTCGTCAACCCCGCGCAGCTCGCAATGGGATCTGGGGATGGATTCAGCCCTAGATTTCCTGGCCAGTCCCCCGACGTCCAGGTGATCAAATTCACCAACGGCACGACCTTTAACGACACTCTTGTTGCCTCGATCTCGGTGGAGGCTGTCGACTATATCGGCTCTGCTGGGGTGATCCATGAATATTTTGAGCTGCCTGTCACAGCGACCCCTACCTCATCATCTTCGTTGAGCTCTACAGCGTCGTCTACATCATCAGCGACGCCGACAAGCACCCAGTTGAGAGGCTACCCTGTACCCGTTGTCAAGCACGCTCATGACTGGATCTCTGGATACTTCATGAACGGCAGTGAATACGAAGACATTGCCGTGCTTTCCATCCCCGCCTTTTCTCCGTGGACAATTCCCGAGACAAAGATCAACGGTACTTTCGAGACGCTTGAGGCCGAGTCAGTGGTGTCGGAGTTCTTGCAAAAGGCTAAGGACGCTGGCAAGACAAAGTTGATCATCGACATGCAAGCAAATCCCGGTGGCCTCATCTTTGCCGGATACCAGCTCTACAACCAACTGTTTCCCAAAGCTGATATCTGGGACGGAAACCGCCTTCGCGCCCACGCCGCTCTGGATGCTCTCGGTACCACAGCTGAGAAGGTTGCTCCAGAGATTCTTTCAGACGCAGTCACCTCTGTCTACAACGAGAATCATGAGGCATACGATTCTTGGGCTGACCTTTATGGACCGCAATTCATTGGAGAACAAAATGTGACCCATTTGCTGAGATACAATCTCAGTGAAGAATTCGACTTCAGCACGCAGGAGCAAGTATTCGATCCTGAAAATATTGTCGTCGTTACAGATGGCCAATGCGCGTCGACCTGCACAATCTTCACTGGCCTGCTGGTTCGCGAGCAGGGAGTCCGATCCATCACCCTTGGCGGCCGCCCCATGGAGTCGGCAATGCAGGTTATTGGTGGTGTAGAGGGCGCTCAAGTGCTCAACTTCATCAACCTGCAGCAGTTCGTTGCGCAGGTTGGACTCAACGCTTCTCAGAGTAACTTTACAGAGTACCTCGAGGCTGCTTTCGATGTGCTTCCCAGTATTGAAGAGCCACCGTTATTGCCTGCTCTCGCAGATGCCGGATCTTTCAACTACCGTAACGCGTACGCACGCGACGATTTCAACGGCTATCCGGAACAGTTCAAGTACGAGGCATCAAACTGCCGTCTGTTTTACACGGCGGAGATGATTGTCGACCCGGTTGCTATCTGGAATACTACGGCGCAAACTGCATGGGGAGGCGGCCAATGTGTGAACGGGTCGACTGCCAATGCCAACAATACTATCAGTAGTGATGTTGTTGGTTTTGACAAGAAGGTTTTGAGTACTGTTAAAGCCTACGACGGGCCTGGCAGTCTATCTTTCAAGGGTGACTACGAGGGACCTCAGCCGTACACCCAGAAGTCCAGCAAGCGGTCCATTATGGATCACTTGACGCCCGCTGAGGACTTTGTCTATGAGGTGAAGCCCAAGATGGCCTCGGGTTGAGACAATCAAGAGTGCTTGTGCAAAGTCTGAAGTTTGACATGGTTATAGTTGCATAGACAGTATATATAATAAGAAGAGCATGTGCAATACAAGTAAATGTTTAATCAGCAAGGCCATGAAATAAATAATCAACGTGTTGTTGCAATACATCACTGGCACCGCTGTGGTTAAGATGCGGGGCTACATCTAGAGGGATGAGTATCTAACGAAATCAACCTC